AAAACGTTTGGAGATGATAATAATAATAATAAAGGAGGAAAGGCAGCTTTCAAATTATAATAGGAAAGGTTAGTCGCAAAGAAAGCTGAAGAGCAAATAGAAACAGAAAAAGTTACATAGACAATATCTAAAAAGAATAAACGTCTTAGATATTAACAAGAAAAGCACCCACAACTGGTTAAGACGTGGTAAGTTAAAGGTTGAAGCAGAAGACCACAAAAACCAAGCACTGCGGATGCACATAACTATGAGAAGGTAACCCTCAAAACCCACCAAGATGATATATGTGCCGAATTTGTCGGAAACAATCGATCATTCAATTTTCGGTTGTTCGATACTGCCAAAACATGAATATCTAGAGAGGCACCATAAAATTTGTCAATATCTCCATTGGAGTATATGCCGAGAATATGGAATGGATGGATTACCCAAGGAGTGGTACAACCACATTCCAAGCCCGGTTACGACAGTAGGTCCATGCACAGTTCTGTATGATCAACAAATCCACACAGACAGAACTGTGTGCCAGACAACAAACCGGATATCATCCTGAGGTGCATAATGTGGGAGAAAAATAGTGTAAGCTGATTGAAGTATCTGTACCAGACAGCCAAAGGAGCGGGTAAAAGGTTGAAATAACCAGGATGTGGGGAAAGTAAATACAGAAACGATTCCGGTTATCGTGGGAGCAGAACTGGGAGCCATGCCACATCCAATGAAAGGACATTTGAAGAAGAAACCATCCAGGAAAACGCACTATGTGGGGACGGCTCTCATTCACCAGAATTCTCCATCATTCGAGCATTTATCCCTAAGGAATCGTCCAGGATAGAAACCTGGAGTAAATACTTTAAAGTGACCATAATAATAATAATAATCTTTAATTAAATATTCCGTATACATAATAAAATACAAATAGAATAAAAATAAGTTTTTATTTACATAACATTGGCACGAAAAAATTTTATTATTATTATTATTATTATTTTTTAAATTAATTTAAATGCGAATATGTTGTATACGTGATTTTATAGAGATTTCTTAAGAAAAATATGTATCATCGAATAATAATAATAATAATAATTTTCAATGTCTTTCTCCATTATAACCTTTTAGAAAATAAAATGCCAATGAATAATTGGCATTATTCGTCAAATTTTTTTTTTTTTTTTTACACGGATGATAAATATTTATTAATATTAATTATTTTACTTTCCTATTTTTTCGTCATTCGGCCATTTTTTAAAACAAAAGAAAAGAAAATTCTAGAAAAAAAACGATTTTTTTTTGTTCTGTATGACGACGACGACGACGACGACGATGATGATGATTATATTCGTTTAAAAAATTAATTAAAATTTCAATACGAAAAACAATTCGAGATCTGTTTTTTTATATAAATTCTAAGAAACTCTAATAATAATAATAATAATAATAATTTAAAAATCAAATTTTTCTTTTTCTTTTTTTAAATGACGAAACGTTTTATTTAACCAAAAAAATTTTTATAAATGACGTCATCAATTAATCAACTGATAAATTCGATATTATTGCTAGAAATTTTACAAAAAAAAGTAAAACACCTGAAACGAGGCCCCCATAAAATTATTCCGGCGTAAACGAAATTTTTTGGAATGACGAACTTTACGTCCCCCCCCCCTCACCTCCTTCCCTCTCTTCCCCCCACACGTCACACAAGAAAATAATAATAATAAACCGCAAAATCTTTTTCGTGTGAAACCTCAAATTCTTTTTAAAAAATTCAAGGGTGCCAAAACAAAAAAAAATTTAAATTTAAATTTGATAACGTTAATTAATAATGATAATATTGATGATGACGTCACAAATTCTACAACTTACGATAATTTCATTTAAATAAATAAATTTTTTTAACAAGAAAATCAAAAAAAAAATTTAAATTTAGATTTCCCAGAAATATTATATGTTACTAATAAGGTACAAATTAAAATAAATAAATTATTATTAATAATAATAATAATAATAATAATAAATTATTTTATTTAAATTGATAAAAAAAAATTTTTTTTATTATACGACGTGAACCCTCCTTTAAGGGTGACAAATTTTTAACGGACGATTAATTTTTATAAAAATCAAATCAAACGAATTTAAATCAATACAATTAAACTATTAATATATATTTATCAACGAACTTTGACCTTAATAATAATAATAATAATAATTTATTATCAACATGAATTTTTTTCGTACTTTTTTTTTCAATCTTTAAATTCCCAAATCGATATGTACGCATAAACTTTATTTCTCTACGTACACGTTTAATTTAAAAATTGACGTGTCAATAGTTTTAATCGGAAATATTCGTTTAAATTTTTCTTCCTCTATGAAATTTTCCCGTTTTTCTTCTTTTTCTATCCAAGGAAAATGATTAAGTTCTGGATTTTCATTTAATTTTATCGATGAATTTTCTTTTGTCTTAATTAAAATTCTAAAACTTTTATCCTCGTTTGATTTTTTCAGTTTTTCTTCTTCTTTTTCTTCTCCTATCACGGATAATTTTAATAAACATTCTCTAAAATTTTCTTCTAATCTCACGTAATAAAAATCCATTTTCCTTCCGTTTCCTTTCGATTCGTCTATATCGAAACAATGGCTTTCCACGATTTCCTCTTCTCCGTTCACTATCGTTAAAAATATTGATTTCATTCCGTTTTCTTTAATTAAAAATTTTGCCGTTTTTAACGATTCGTTAATGTAATCGTTAACTTCCGGTTGACGGGATAAAAAAACCGGAACTTGATATTTTTTCCTCATGTAAAAAATCGATTTAGGATAAACGTTTCTCAAATATAATATCGAATGAAATGCAACTTCTAAAAATTCAATCAAAACATCCGCTTTACCTTCACCATCATCCTCTTCTCCTTTTTTTTCCTCCATTTTGTTTCGCGTGTTGTTCTCCAGGAAGTTCAATCAACCAACTATAAATAAACCCCGATTAGTCATAATAATAATAATACAATTTTTAAATAATACATTTATTTTTATTTTTATTTTAGAGGACTATTAAAATCCCTGGAGAATAATTTATCATAGAACGATTTCATATTAAAAAAATGTATGGAAAAGGATTTTCCGTTAAACAAACGACATTTTGGAAATTCCAAATTTGTTCGATGTGAGACAAAATAAAAGACTAATCCAATGTCAAATTAAAAATTATTACAATTAATTATTTAATATAAATTCCATTCGTTAAACATAATAATTGCAATGATAATGATAATGATAATGATAATTATAAACGTGCGCAATGTCATAGAGCAAATAAATCATTTATTATCTTCCGTCACGACACCATGTATCTTTTCTTTCCTATTTCATCATCTCGAACGCGTATCAAAATATTAAATTTTATATTCTGGAAACTCCATAAATTACAAAGAATATAAAACAATTTCCAGACGTTAAACGTACGCCATTTTTCAAACAAATTTCCCGAATTTCGAATTCGTTAACAAATTTAAAAAAAAGTAAAAGGAAATGTGCACGCGCGTCAACAAAAATGACCGTTGAGTTTAAAAATTCGAAATGTGAGATTGTGACGTAAGAAAAAAAAATGGCGTCGCGTTCGTTTTCGAAAGATCGGGTATGAGGCCTCCTTCTCCTCCTCCCTGCTCCCCCTTCCCATTCCTGGAATACGTTTGGAAAATACTTTGACAACGTATTTTTGTCGCGAGTAGGAGTCATAAAATTAAACAACCTATATATATATCCGAGTAAAGAAAGTAAAATAACCGTCATTTTTCAAGGAGTTTCCAATATTAATTTTTCATTCAATCAAAAACAAATCCGGAAAAAAAAAAAATTTCCCTCCTTCATTCATTCATTCATTCATTCATTTTTTACATACAAACTCGGACTTTTCCAATGAGAAATTTAAACGCCATTATTAATTTTCCGCCGTCGTACTCTTTGACGACAAATTTCCCTCTCTTTTTTGTCAACTCTCGACAGTAAACTTTACATAAACGAAAATGAAAAAAATAAATAATAATTAATTCGAAAATATACATTTTTTTTTTTTTTTAAATTAATAAATCAGATAGATAAATAAAAAAGAAAAATATCGCGGAGGATAAACATTAAACACGCACACGCACACGCACGAACCGCAAATTATATCGATAATATTAATAAAAAACCCAAATCGATTTTAAAAAAACAATTGATGACGTCAAATCGACGACGTCATTTCAAAAATTTCTTTCACAAAAAAATTCGTTTTTTTTTTTTTTATCCCGTTCCGTCATTTCTTGCATAAAAAAAAAAATTAGACGTTCCGAGAAAAACTTTGTTAACGACCAATGAGAAAACAATTGAAAAACTTTCCCATAATTAGCTTATACTTAAAACAGTCAACTTTATTTTTTTATTTTTTTATATCCTCTAATTATCATTATTATTATTATTAGGTAACGACTAAAAAAAAATTGCGCGCGCATGTAAAAAAAAACTCTCTCACTCCTTTCCCCCCTCTCTCCCTCCCTCTCTCTCTCTCTCTTCCTCTTCACATCCATCAATCTCTTCGCGAATAAAAAAAAAAAAAAGACGTTGTTACGTACGATTCGAGTCCAGTAGATAAAAATCAACGTCGGGTGGTTTTCATTTCCATAAGTTGGCACTCGTGATTTTCTCATTCGTTCGCTCGTTCGTTCGTTAGTTTGTTCGCGCGTAAAAGACGGTTAATTAAGACGTAAATTTTTTTTTTTGTTTTTTCGTAACGGTCGTGTGAATTTTTTTTTCTTTTTTTAATTTTATGCGCGAAATCCGCGGGGAACAAAATCTCATTTTTATTTAATTATTTATTTAATTATTTATTTATTTAATTAATTATTATTTAATTTTTAAAGTGACGAGTATCGAGATAAAAAAAATTTTTCTCTTTTTTTATTTTAATTCTTCTATATATATTTTTTTTTTGGTTAACTGTTTTTTTAAACGCCGTTGTAGTTTTTAATTATTATTATTATTATTATTTAAAAAATTTATAATATTATTATTATTATTATTATTTTCAAATGAAACGTTTATTTTACGTCAATTTTATTTTATTAATTTTGTTTAATTTGTGCATCTGCAACCGCACTAAAAGGCAAGGTAAATAGGGATACCAAACATTCAATTACTTTATGTTTCCCCCCTCCCCCCATGTGTTTGTCTTTTTGCACGTTTGTAAAATAATTATTTCTAACAAACAAACAAACAAACAAATCCTAATAGCTAACCCAACAACAACAACAATTAATTAAACGTATAAAAATTCATCGAAAGGTCGAGAATTGTGCAAAAAAAAAAAAAAAAAAATTATACATATAAACTTATGTATCGTATTAGGAAATAACAAGTTAATAAAAAAAAAAAAAATTTTTTTTTTTTTTTTTGCAACAATAAAAAAAAAAAATTTGTTTTCTTATTAATTAAATAACTAAACAAAGGTCACGAACTATTATTCAATTACGCAATCCATTATTTTTAGTCTAATAATAATAATAATTTATTAATAAAATTTTAAGTTTATTTAACTTTGATCTCTCTCTCTCTCTCTCTCTCTTTCTTTTATAAAGGACGAACGATATATATATATATATATATATATATGACTATAATGTAGAAAAATTTCAAATTGTTTTTGAAACGCGTACGTTATAATAATAATAATTAATAATTTACCCCCCCCCCCAAAATCAATCAATCAATCATACGGGCTACTACTACTACTTCTTAACGACAATCATTAACCATTCGAATGTTTTTTAACAAATCTTCCGCCATCTTTTTTTTTTTTTTATTCTATACTTAATTTTATCGTATAATTCATAATAAATTTTTTATAAACCGCAAAAAAATAAATGAGATTAACCAATGAAGACTAAAGACTAACGAACTTTTTCAAATAACGAACGTTTTTTTTTTTTTTTTTTTCTTACAACAACAACAACCAAATCGAATTTCCGGAAAAAATTAAACAAAAACTAACCATTTGATTATTATTATTATTATTATTATTGATAACTTATACGAAAAAAAAAAAAATATTTAAAAAAAATTCCAGGAGATAAATATTCTAGAAAAAATGCTAGTATTAGTAAGTAAATCATTATTATTATTATTATTATTACATACGCTACAACAACAAACTTTTTTTTAATTTAAATTATTTATACCGACAAAAGACAAAAATTTTTAAAGGTTCCTTTCCTAAATTAAATTAAAAGTTCAATAATATTATTATTATTATTATAGAAATCTAACAGGGGAATAATTCAAATTTTTTTTTTTTCCGTTAAGGATTTGTGGATTTAACGCAAATATCAAGCTGTCAAACCCCTTTGGGTGAAACCGGGGTTTGTTTACCAATAAAACAATGTTCATCCCTCGTTAATCTTCTCATAAAGCAAAGGCACAGACCGGAAGTTGTTAATTATTTACGATCCGCCGTTTGCGGTTACGATAATTTAGAACCGAAAGTTTGCTGTTCGGAATTGCCAGGTACGATCGTGAACTCATTTCAGTAAAAATCCCAATTGTAGACCCCCCCTTAACATAACCGCCATTAAATTTGTTTTTGTGCAGATCCATCAGGTTTGGTTAAAACCGCGACACCACCAACGGTTAAGACGACGACAGCGGCAGCAACAACACCGAATAAAAAAATCATAGTTAAAGATGGAAATTTTAAAATACCTGAACCTGGAGAATGTGGTGTTAGTACACAATTTAACGTTAGAGTCGTCGGAGGAACTAATGCGTCTTTGGGTGAGTTAAATCCCATAATAATAATAATAATAATAAAATAAATGACAAAATTCCGAACTCCGATTACGGAGACGGCAAACCTTGATCTTGACCACAATTAAACGACTAATTTTTACGAAATCTTTGGGGGGGGGGATCCAAGGTTAAAAAAGCGAAAGCTGTTTATATATTATACGGGGATCCCCCCGGTCCCCGTCCCGGTGAGAAAATTTTTTTTTTCTTTCATTATTACTCATTATTTATTTATTTATTTATTTAACGAAATGAAAATTTTTATACGTCTTGTACGCAATCATTAAAACCAAGGACCTTAATAAAATAAATCATTTTTTCGAAAAAAAAAAAAAAAAAAAAAAAAAAAAACGTTAGCGGATTTTAACGAAATCGTGACGTCACATACGAAAAAAATTATAATAATATTTAAAATAACGGTTTTTTTTTTTAAATTTTTCGTACAAATGATTGAAGAAAACTTACATAGGCACGAGTTTAGAATAATAATAATAATAATTAGAATGATGATGATGATGATGATGATGATGATAAAATTATTATTAACTAATAAATAAATGATTACGATAAATAGACAAGACGAGGAAACTTTAACAACAACAATGGCGTCCATTGTGAATATTACGACAATCAAATAAGTTCCGGCTTAAAACATTTTGTTAACACGATGATGTTTAAATTGTTTAACAAATGAATATATTAAAAAAAAAAAAGTAAACATGATTAAAAAAAAAAAAAAAATTATGCGTTGGATTATTTTTGTTAAGGATTCAAATAATTGTGTTTTTTTTTTTTGGGGGGGGGTGGGGATTTTACAGGTGCCTGGCCTTGGGTTGTTGCTTTGGGTTACAGATCGTCAAAAAATCCAAGAGTTCCAGCATATTTATGCGGGGGATCATTAATAACCGACAGACACATAATGACAGCAGCCCATTGCGTTTACAATAGAAAAAATTTGTGGGTAATTTTTTTACTTTTTTCCATTTTCCGAAAAAAAACAACCCTTGTTCCGTTTCCCACTGTTTCGACTTTTCATTTTTTTTTTTTGTTTGTTTGTTCTATTATCAGGTACACGGTACGTTTGGGTGATTTGAATTTATTCAGCGATAACGATGGTGCCTCGCCGATCGATATACCCATCGCAGACAGGATCGTACACGAGGGATACAATCCAACGACATTCGTCAACGACATTGCCATTTTACTATTGGAAAGACCCGTAAAATACACGAGTTAGAATTCGAACCTTTTCTCTCTCTCTTTCATCCCAATCAAAATAACGATCATAATAATAATAATAATAATAAATTATATTTTCCAGGACTCATAAGGCCCGTTTGCCTACCACTCGAACCTGAATTTCGTTCAAAGGATTACGTTAATAGAAAACCTTTTATCGCCGGATGGGGAACCATATCATTCAGTACGTAAAATTTAATCAACAGGTTTTTCTTCCTTCCTTCCTACCTACCTACCCCTCACATCCCCACTATAATTTTCCCACACAAATACGTCACGTTTGATGAACGATACTTTACACACACACGTAAATCATATTTTATTATTATTATTATTATTATTTTCGAGTGATTAATGAAAAAAAAAAATTTTTTTTTTTCTCTATTTTTGAAAGGTACAAAATCATTATTATATGTCAAAGGTCAACAATACCTGTTTTATCCGCGTTTTTTCTATTAAAACTCGTATTTTAGGCTTTTTTTTCGTTTTTTTTTGAGATTTATTAAATTGCTTGTTGTAAAAAAAAAAAAAAAAAAAAAAAATTTTTCCCAACGTTCATAAACGTGTAACCTTGGCAATCAAGTTCGTAATTATGACAAAAAAAAAAATAATAATAATAATAATAATAAATACTTACGTATTTATAGATGGACCATCTAGTGATGTTCTTCAACAACTTCAAGTTCCGGTCGTGTCCGAAAATGAATGCAAAAGAGCTTTTGAACCTTTTAAAACGGCCGT